CAATTATACACGAAAAAAACACAAATCCCGCGAGCAGCCCGAATATGCTATTTTCCCATCAACTGAATGATTTGGCGAAGAATAATATCCTTTGAGCAATTCCTATTTACCGACAGCTGCCGGAAAACGTTTGGCGCGTTCACTTCGGGCTAAAATGTTCCAGTCTGGACCCACCCACCCTCCAGATTCCTTCGAATTTTTTCCATCTCTGTGCTAGGCCGCATAATTATCGAATAATCCTTATACATAAAACCTTTGATAATTCAATCAATCTATAAATATTTATTTTTTGATAAAACAATGTTTATTGATCCATATTATTCCTATAGATAAACGTAGCAAAAAATAAGACACTCTTAGATATTGCACTTTTTAACAATTATTGATAACTTCATTGGGTAAACAGTGATATCTAATCTATTGTCAAAATATTTTTATCAGAGAGTGATTCTTAATAGAACATTGTGTAATACAAGTATCACCACGAACAAATTTTTATTTGAAATTATATAATAATTATTTTGGATTAATAGTTTCGAAATATTAAAAAATAAATCAAATTCATTTGTTAAAATTGTTTTTTTTTTGTAGTAAATGAACTACATATTATAGATAAAGGCAACAAAAAACCATTTTATACTTTTCCTCCTTGTAAAATCAATAATGGCTGAGCAAAGTTTTACAAAGGCCCCTCAGTCCCCGGCAAGCTTTAGATGGTCAGAGAGTGCTAAGACTATCTGGATTAGCCATGAAAGTTGCTAATTGGAATGTTAAAAGTCTATACACTCCAGAAAAACTAGAGCAAAGTTTTACAAAGGCCCCTCAGTCCCCGGCAAGCTTTAGATGGTCAGAGAGTGCTAAGACTATCCGGATTAGCCATGAAAGTTGCTAATTGGAATGTTAAAAGTCTATACACTCCAGAAAAACTAGAGAATACGGTACTAAAATGAGAAGACAATTTAATATCTTGGGTCTCAGTGATATCCAATGTTCTGGGTCAGGCAAGCTTTCCACTATTTAGTAATCACATTTTCTCACGCGTCGCTAATGATCGAATTCAGTATTTCCGAGCATACATGATGATATACCCAAAAATCAAACCAGACATAACTGCTCGGGGAGCAAAAATCATACTCGCCTTTGCCGATGACGTAGACGCAGCATTAGAAATTAAGGATATCTTCTCGAGCTTTGAAGAAGCTGCATTAAACATCGGTCTAAAAATAAATGAAGAAAAAAAAATACATGGTCTTTCCAAAGATAAACACAGACAAACAAAATTTCCACCCAGGTGGGATTTCAACTCACGACCTTTAGATTTAAAGGCAGGCGCTCTTACCACTGAGCCACAAAGGGGGTTTTTGGCCGAAAGTGAACAGCTGTGTGCGTACATGCTGCTTGAAAGTGAATAAATATTGCATCATAAAAGTAAGTAAAAACCTTTTTTTACAATATCTTGGCTTTACATTAAATATAAAAGTTCACTCCTTTAGTTTTTTTAAATATTTACAGTGATAAAAGACCTATATAACGGTAAAATCTGCATTCAAAAAACTATGTAGGTAAAAAACAACTTTGCCAGTTTATAATAAGTTTTTTTGTTACAGATTTTACAAAGAAAACTATTTTTTATTATAGATTTAAGTCAATCAGGGCTGCATGTTTTTATAGGAATAAAAAAACACTTGCAATTACTCCAGTAGATCTAAATATTTCAGATATTTGGATTTATCTGATTCAGATAAGTAGATAAAGATAGGGAAGCTGATGAGGAGGGAGCAAACGAAGAAGAGGAAACTGTACGAAGAAAAAAAGCAAAAAAGAGATCCTACCCATTTCAATTGGAGAGAAGATGATATTACAACTACTTCAATTTCTGATCCAGATCGATCTTTCAGTGGATAGGTAGCTACGCCTTTGGGGTACTTTACAAAGTTGTTTTCGCTTGATGTTATTGAAGATATCGTGTACCAGTCTAATTTGTACAGTACACAGGTAAGAGGAAAATCCATCAACACTTCGCCCTGTGAAATAACAGATTTCTTATCCATTTTATTATTGATGGGAGTAATAAATTTACCAGCAGTAAAAGACTATTGGGTGAAATTCTCCAGAATATCCAAAATTGTGGATATTAATCCGCTAAAACAATTTTAACTTCTCAGAAGATTTATACACTGCAATGATGTATAAATATACACAAAGGCTAGCAGGCCTGTATTACAAGGGCCATAAAAACAATACAACGGCGTTTGAAGTCCTGCTGAATCTACCACCACGTCATATCTTTATACAGGGCGAAGCTCAGATCTTTGATGCACATATTAAAACATAGTCATCAATACATAAACCAGGCGCATAGTGCTGACATTAGAGTGTAATCAAGAAGCTAAAAGCAGATATTGTAATGGGGCAACCTATCGATGGTCAGCTACAAGATATAGCTTTGACAATAAATTCAAAATTAATATACCAGGCAGGGAAAACTGGAAGAAGGTGTAACCATACAATCAGAAGCTTCCAGGTATACTAACAGCTCAAAAACATCAGAGGGCGTAAGAGCCGGTATAGTAGGAAAAAGCAAGGGATAAAATACTCCACAAAAATAGAAAATTCGTCTCAATACTAAAACAACACAAAAATTTCGATAGTCTTGATTAAATGAAGGTGACTTTAGACAATGGTTAACTCGAGATCCAACTAATATTTATAAAGTTAAATGCAAAGTCAAATAAAGCAAAATCAGTAATCATATTTTCAATAATCTATTAATTGGCCTTTCAATTCAATAGTTTCATAAACAGAATTAAGTAATAACCATTATCCATTATTTAATGCGATAATATTGAATTTGACGATTATTGTTTCTCATCTACTATAATTTTTTCAAATTTACTATAATTTAATGGCCCTGGTACAATAGTCCCACTTTTCAGGGTCGGAAACATTGTCTCTAAGAATGTAGTTACTCCAAAAATATATATTAATTACATTAGTGGGGTGTTGAGCTAGTTCGCGTCCGTAGTAGAATACTACACGTGCACCCTGGGTAACGCAAAATGAACTAGCAAATACTGGCGGTCAGTTAATCTCAGGATCTCCTGACCAGAGACACATTGCAAACAATGCCATTAACCGTTATCAGACGGCAAATTAACAATAATACAAATGGCCCTTCTCAGGAAACAACGACTAGAAAACTCGGACCTATGATCCGGATGAGTCGCTTAAATGTAGAAACCATATGCTATTCAAAGAGCCAGTACTTATCAAAATTTCTAAACAATAACGACATCGACCTGGTCGTTCTACAGGAAACACACTGCGAAACGGAAGAACAACTGCGAAAAAGGGGAAAAATACCTGACTTCGAACTACTGGATTCTACGTATCATCGATCATACGGCACAGCAACGTACGTTAACATAAACATAAAACATAGAAAACGCCGTCCTCGTTTCCACATGTACTGATGATGAAATTAGCCTGTACATCGCTGATATACCAGAAACCAGATCAAGGAAGTTTGGTTACACCGATGACTGGGTCCTTGCAATAAGGTGTAAGTCAATTGAACAAACAGAAGAAATCCTTACGGCATTCTTACATACAGTGGGAAAGTATTTCCGTAAATGGAGGCTCCAACCAAATGCTACCAAAACAGAGGTTTCCAGTTTTCATCTAAATAACAAGCTTGCAGGAAAAACACTGAACGCCCAATTCGAAAACACCACACTGACCTGCAATAAAACACCAAAGTACCTTGGGGTGACTCTTGATAGAACCCTATCTTTCAAGAAACATCTGTCAAACTTAAACACGGAAAACAGCGGAAAACTTAAATCCAGAAACAACATCATCCAGAAGCTGTGCGGCACAACATGGGGAGCATCGGCTTCCACCTTGCAATCATCTGCCCTGGGCCTTGTCTTCTCAATCGCGGAATACTGCTCTTCAGTCTGGCTTAACAGCCCACATATACATAAAGAAGGTGTCCAATTGAACAATACAATGAGAATAATTGCTGGTGTTATCAAATCCACTCCTACGCAATTGCTCCCAGTACTGAGCCACATTCCACCACCCAAACTACGACGTATACACTTCCTCACTAGTGAGTACCAAAAGATACTTAGTAACGAGATCCTGCCAATTCATCAAGATAAGATGCTGCCAACGGTACGCTCCAGACGACCGCCACTAAAAACAGCACAGATTGCAGTGGAAAATGAATTCAACTTAACGATCACTCGAGAATGGATGGAACAACAAAATAGCAGCTTACCCTGCATCACACAAAAACCACCAGGTTTTGACTTACCACGCAACACATGGACTATGTTGAACCGAATCAGAACCAAACACAGCAGATGCAGTTATATGATGCACAAATGGGGTAAACGACCATCCCCACTCTGTGGACAACTACAAAACGTCTGTCACATTACGGAACAGTGTCCCACAAGATCCTATCAAGCCAGGTCAGAGGATTTCCTAATGGCGACTCCGGAGTCGATAGAATATATAAATAAGTCAGATGTACGTTTGTCAACATATGTAATGTTTTATACAAAATATATGTAAATTAAATGTAAATGTGTCAAGTTCCATACGATAAATAATAATAATAATAAATAATTACATTAGTAAATTATCTATCTACATAATTATTATGTATTGGTTTTTAATGAATACCCAAAAATAGAAGTAAGTTTAATACACTTTGACTAAAGTGATTAGTTAGTTAGATGTAATAATTATCACTACATCATGGTACAAAAATTAGTAAACAATATAAGATTGTGTAAGTTTACAATCTCAAAAAAATGTAACTTAATATAAATGGAGGTAAATCGATTTGATTTTCGATTTTTAAATAACACGACACCATTTTCATCCACACATGCTACGCAAATGAATAAAATAATGAATCGTTTATTAACATTTTATAATTTCCGACTAATTTCTTATATGATTATGTAGATAATTTTCAAACCTACCTGTGGAATTTGAGTGCTCTTTCCGCAGCCAGTTTCCCCGATTAGAATCAAAGTTTGGTACTTCTCTAGGAGGTAAAGTATATGATTTCTGTTATTGAAAATGGGCAACCTTTGCCTTTGCGTTTGAATAGACTGAGACAAATATCTATTGTAAACGAAATCGGTGGTTTCTACGCTGTAAGAATCATCTCTATCCAGAAAACTAGTGGTATCTGAAGGCTTTAAGAATTTAGGCCTAAATTCACTCATCACGTTGCTGGCAAGATCATGAGTACGGAGGAAATGTTTTGAGTTGAATTAAGAATTTTATCCTTTCTGTTCTGTGCGCCAAAGACTATCTGAAAAGAAATAAAGCATGGTGAACATGTATAATCTATAAAAGTGATAATTGCTATAAAATATCAAAAGCTTTGGAAAATGTCAAATACCGGATTGGAATAAAACCAAAATTTACACAAACATTTTTTGACATTTCGCTATATATTTGACATTAAGCTCGAGTTCAAGCTGAGATTCAAACACTTAAAAGGCATGTATAGTAGAGTGTCACGTCTTTGCATAAAAATTTTTTTTGAGGTACACTATGGCAAGAGGTATCCAAATTTGCGTAATTTTCCAGAGATTATGAAAAATGTAAAATAAATACGATAGCATGTCACCTTCAGAGCTCTACTAGACTTTAAAGTTTTGTAAATATTACGTTTGTACAGACCTAAATCATATACTTCAAATAATATACAAATTACTCTTTTGTCTTTTTGCTCGATGTAGCGCATCCAACGAATCGCTCTTAGGGCGAGCGCCCACCAAAGTGGCGTGGCAGTGGCAAGTAGCAAGTAGCACGCGTCTAGCATAATGTAACCAGTGAAAACGAATGATTCAGTTTACACCAAAATGACAGTGACGTCATTCATTCTAATCATTCTTTGGATTGGTTACATTATGCTAGACGCGTGCTACTTGCTGCTTGCCACTGCCACGCCACTTTGGTGGGCGCTCTCACTTATGCACTGGCAACAAAAATGCAATTGTTTATAGCATTACACTGGCTAGGCAGTGGAGGACAATATCACGTCATAGCAGATCCTCATGGGGTCAGCAAAGCGAGTGTCAGTAGATGTGTAAAAAAAAGTGGTACACGCAAGTGGTACATAACCAAATAAAATTTCATCAAGTTGTTGCTTGGCCGGCAAATATTTTAAATACGACTTCAGAATTTTTTGCAGTAGCAGGATTTCCCCAAGTTATAGGTTGTATTGATGGGACGCTTATTAAAATAGATGCTCCAACTGAAAACGAACCTGCTTTTGTTGATCGTAATGGAAATCACTCGATTAATTGTATGATTGTTTGTGGACCAGACTAGAAAATCTATTATGTTAGTGAAAATTAGCCGGGAGGTGTTCATGACGCGACAGTACTGAGAAATGGCACCCTATTTCAAAGAATGGAAGCTGGTTGACATCCAATTCCAAATAGAATAATTCTAGGTGACTCTGGATACCCTCTATTAGATTGGCTTATGACCTTATTTGAGGTGAATGTGGATGAGGCTGTGGCTACCTACGAAAGAGCACATAAGAAAACACGGCGTTTAGTTGAAAATGCTTTAGGCGTATTAAAGGAGAAATTTCCTTGTTTTAACTACTTTCGTTTGAGTCCAGTATATGCAGCCAATGTTTTCAAATGCTGCACAGCGCTGTATAACATTACTCGGGAGAGAATGAATATAAACCGACAAATGGATAATGAAGAAATGGAAGACGATCATGAAATAGCCGGACAACCAGCTCCTTTGAATGCAAGACAAAGACAACAGGAGTTGATAAATTATTTTAGAAACAGAAACTAGTTCCAGTGTAACTTTAAAACAATAAATAATATAAAATAAATAAATATAGAATAATACACAATATTTACTTTTTATTTAAACGAAAAAATAATTTCCAAAACATTTAACAAATACTTAGCATAATAATGAATTAAAAATCAAAGAAGTAATTCCTATAAACAAAACGTTTTTCTTATAATTAATTAAAAAATCAAATATAACAATAACATAACTTCTCAAACATTGGTCAAATATTTCACGCTTTCACTGGTAGGTTACAGCAGAATCGAACGATGCAGTGAATTTTGAAAGGGTCACATGTAGTTCCCATTCTAGTTTTAAAATCTCTAATGTTTTTAGATAAATTTCTTTTGCAAGGATTTCAATTTGGTGTTGTAATTATTTCTTCTTTAAATCGATTAGTGCTTCGCCAATTGGGTCATTTTCATTAGATATTTTCGACTTGTTCCTTTTTGCACAAGATGCAATACTGTACACTGCCGCTTCCAGTAGAAATAAACACATTAGTGTTTTTAATTTTGTTTGTTGCACCGTGATCTTGCAAATGGTTTGAATTTTCTATTTCTTGTTCAACGTTCTCAGGATCTTGCTCTCAAGTTTCGGAAATGCCGAGACTACACAGAATTGGATTATCCGGCCCAAGAATGTCGAGAACTACATTGTCCATTTCTGTAAATTTAGAATCTGTGCCTCCATCTGAACCAGTTTTCCTCCTGTTATCAACTTTCTTCTGCAATACGAAAAAAAGTGTCAGATACGCTTACACTTTGGCAAATTAAACGCTAACACTTACCATTGTTGTTTTCTTTAAATTTTGCCAAAATACATCACGGCTGTAAGTCCAATCCTTATTTGGAGGCACAAGCCCTAAACTGGTGGATTTTTGGTGCACAGTTTTCCAACATTCTATTTTGCTTTCTTATCTCTAATATCTTTTAAAATTATAATTTTAGTACCATTTAAGACGCTTTTCGACATTGTCACAGAATTATAAATAACGACTGACGTTTAACTAGTAAATTGTCAACAAAACTATTTTAACGTTATGTTTATTTACAAACTTGTAACTAACATGCGTGAAGTACACTTGTTGCTAACAAATTTTCACATGTAACGAACAAGTTAAATATTTTTTTTGTAAAACGCTAGTTATTAACAACTTGTGATCACAATTGCTGAATATTATCAATTGTTACTAACAACACTTGTAGTTTTGTGAAACGGGCTCCTGGTGTAAAAGAAACTCTTTGGTAAATGCAAAGAAAACTAAATTTATAAATTAGTGCAAAAAAACTGCTTTTTTGTAAATATCTTCTTAAATTATTTATCAATTTTAATTGAAAAAAACGGAAAAATAAAGATATTCTTGATATAAAAAAATGATAAATACTGTTTATTTAAAATATAAGGGAACAAATTTATATACAAAAATCAAATTGTGAGCATAAATTATTGTTTAAAAAAACGCAAGGTAAAAATACGCGTATTATACTTTTTCATCTGTTCGTCATCTAGTAACCCCCACCTATGTTTTAAAAGCTTCAGATATCTGGGAAACAGTTTTCGACCTGTTTTTTAATCAGACTGGTAACCAGTTTTAACAAAATTATACAAAATCTCCACATATTATTATATTGCTTCCTATCCCGATAGCATTCAAACAAACTACTAAAATATGTTGTAACTATATACTTAGTCAGTTTTATTTACATTGTGATTACACAATCATTCATAAAAATTAACCTCTATACTGTAACAAAGAATTATTATTATTGTTTTGTCTCTTTTTGTTTGATGTGGAGGTCAAGTTCATTTTATATAATCCTAATTATTTCATTGCAATTAAACGTAAATTATAGTAACTTAGTAACTAGTACTAATTAAAAATGTTTTCATTTTAAAATTAGAAACAAGAAATTATTTTCTTTATTTTTTCTAAAATCTTGGTACGCGTGAGAATATGGCTTGGAAGCAAGTCCGTTAGTCACAGATATATATATATATATATATATATATATATATATATATATATATATAATTTATCATTTTTTTATATCAAGCATATCTTTATTATATATATATATATATATATATATATATATATATATATATATATATATATATATATATATATAACCAAGTCATACAGCCCGATGGTAGCCGACTACAACCCTTATTAAAAATGCCTCCACCGAATGACACGGCATTTCTCATCATCATCATCATTTTGGCTTTACAACCCTGTGTGGGTCCTAGCCTCCCCAAGAATTCTTCATCAGCGGTTGCTTTATGGCGCATCTGCTCTTGTGCTACTACCACGGCGGCAGGTGCATCAAAACTCAAGTCACTTCACACTGCACTTTGTCATCCAGAGGAAACACGTATGTTTCATTGGACAAAATCAAAGAATTTGCCATTCTCCCTCAATGAAGTCAAGACTCGTGACTGTGGGGTATATGCTAAAATCAAGCCGAGGTACTTTAAGAATGAGCCACATCTCCCTTCAAACGCCTTAGTATTGACTTTAAAGGGCCAGTGCCTTCGAAATCCAATAATCATAGATGAGTATTCCAGATTCCCAGATGCAGATGCAGTGACATTAGTGAAAAAACAATAATCAAGAATTTAAATAACTTATTTATGATGTTTACAATGCCTGCATACATTCATTCCGATAGAGGGACTCAATTTCTATCAGCTGAAGTCAAAGAGTTTCTCAACTCCAGAGGAATCTCAACAAGTAGAACTACTGCTTATAATCCTCAAGGAAATGGTCAAGTGGAGAAGTTGAATTCTACTGTCTGCAAAGCTATTCAACTGCCCTGTGAATGACATGAAGCACCTATTGAGACTTAAGAACAATACCTACCAGTCGTGCTGTATTCCATTCGTTCACTGTTGTGTACCGCAACTAACTGTACGCCGCATGAAAGGATGTTCGTGCACACACGTCGATCTCCAAATGGGAATACAATACCGTCATGGCTAGCAGAATTTGGGCATGTCTTGATGAAAAGGTTCGATCGGAAAAACAAGTACCAGCCTATCGTAGAGGAAGTGGAGGTAATAGAGGCAAATCCTGAATACCCTTTTGTGAAACTGAAAGACGGACGGAAAACCACAGTGTCTAATCGTCATCTGGCTCCGATTGTACGAGGTGAAGGGGAAACACTAGATATACCAGGTCAAGAATCAGTGTTCGTAGAAGACCCACATGAGTTACATTCGAGCCTGAATGATTCCTCATCCAATACAACCACGCAAAACATGCAGCCCCTGGCAGATATATCTATCTACATATCTCCCTCCATCGGATTCATTACTTCTTGAAGAACCCCCAATGAGTTCTGAACAGAGCTTATCGCTTACTTCAGCACTACCTAGAAGATCTGAAAGA